ATAGAGTATACTCTCATTTGTGTGAAATAATATCATTCAGATTTTAAGTTTATTTTTATGTATATCTCCCACTGATTGGAAGGTTCAGAGAGGCCTTTGCCACTGAGATCTCCAGATAACTTGCCCAACCCAGTGGCCAGTGAGCTGCGATTAGAGACAAGTGGCCTCACTTATTACACAGTCACTGGCAACACATTAGGGCAACAAATTGTCATAAGCGGGTGCGACTAAAAACAATCATTGTCCGTCAAGCCGAGTGCTATGACTTTTCCCAGTAGCCAGAGCAGCACCAGGGGCCAGTCCGGAGCTTAGTCACTGGCCCAGATGGGGCCAGTTTGGGGAGCTACTCCGCCTATCGATGGCGACATCGGTGGAACAATGATGATGGATATGAATGGTGAATGGGCAACTCATCGCCGGCATCAAATCATGGGCACTGTAAATTTTAACTCATTTGTCCGTGCTCCGGACTTTAAGGTGCTCAGTGTTTGGTGTTCGGTGCTCGTTGCTCGGACCTCGACTTTGGCTTTATGGCGCATAATGAAGCGTTAAAATGTAACGCGCAACAGCAACAGCAGTCGCAGCCAAAGCAGCAGCCACAACAATTACAAATGCCTCTCTTTACACTTGCCGCCGATGGTGGCTCCAGCTGGATGCTGTTGCTGACGGAAGCATTTTTGTGGGTTTTTAGGGAAAGCATTTGGAGCCCAGCGCGTGTGAACCAAAGAAAGCGAAAAAGGGTCAGCATTTGGCCAGAGATGCGATGCTATGCTGCTGCGGCTTACGCAAACTGACCAAAGCCAGCCGGCTTTATGTAATAGCAAACACTACAATACATTTCCAACTGCCATGTTTGCCGGGCCAAAGTCCAAACGCCAGACAGAAGACGGCTAAAACGGCATAGGCAAACAGCTGATGATTTTTTTTATTTTTGCCAGAAGATACGGCTTGCTAAGAAGCTCAAATTCTGAAATAAACATCATCAACATCACCGTGAATCGGCAGAAATCGATATGAGGGGGGATTACACCAGCGCCTACTGATGTGAATCACCGAATGTTGCCAAATATTGGCCAACCATTTCGCAGATCCGTCGTAAAACAATAATTCAGAACTCATCTGCACAATAAACAAAAGGTGTTATTGTAATGCTTGTACTGATTTCTCTGCCATACTTATGATTTAAAATTATGCAAAAAAGTGTATATAATGGGACCATAACTTATAAAATAAAAATTAATAGCTTTAATGTTATTTCTTCGAGTGTACATGTAGACATAAATATATATTCCCCATTTTGTTGATCTTTACAAATACCGGTTTCCCTTTACTTTGTCCTGTTTTTTGTTTCTATGCCTTATTTTATTTAATTTGCTTTGGCAAAAACAAAGTTCAACAAACCGCGCGATCCGCGCTAAAAGTATAATTTCAGACTTGCTCCGAGCTTACAGATGGCCAGCTAATTTTGTTTACGTCCCCAGTTTCTATATCTATAACTTCTATGAATTCCCCGACCACCCAGCCGGCATGTCGCATTTGCGTTTTTAGTGCGTATATTGTTTTAATTTGATTTTTATTGCATTCCCGACTTCAAATAATTCACCTTAAGCGAGTGCGAGTGCCGCTCTTTCGCATTCAAGTCAGCGCTAGGAAATTTACTAATTCGATGTATATCCACTGCCTGATTAATGCAGCCAAAGTGCGCACTACTCGCTGAACAAAAACCATCAACACGATGACTGTCGAACTTTACGCCCACGCTCGTAAACACTTGTTGTTTGTCCGGCAGGTTCGTGTCTTAAGTCTTTTGTTTGGCTCTCGATAAGATCACGAAAATAAGAAACAGCCTAGCAGCTCCGACATGACAAATTATGCCTTTGCATGATAGATCAAATTATGACAGATCATTGGATAAACTGATTGGCGGACCGACCACAAAGCCGCCGATTATGAATGAAATTCCTTTTGGTTCCGGCACCGGTACCGGCAGCGGCATGAACTTCCTTTTGCCGAATTGTGGCCGGAAATTTGGTTAATCTATTAAGCCAATGACCGTAAATGGCGGTTCTAACTAGAGCACCCCCCGTCCCCCACTCGGAAATGCACCGACAAAAACCAACAATTCGGACACCGGCTGACAGTTTGAGTGGCAAGAGTAGACTATAACAAATACAACGCAGACCGACAATTAAATTTAATTGCACTTAGCGGCGGTCCATGGCTTTAACGCCATGCTAAGTATACACTATTTTCATCTTAATGGATCTCACCCAGTTAGTGTGAGAAAACGGGTTTTACGACGCTCATCGCTAGTGATTTTCCTCGATTTCCTTAATCAAATGCATAAAATATGTGAAATTAAAACTGTCGTTGCTGACCTACGTCATTCGACGGGCGAGAGTGCAATGCAAATTACTTAATAACCGCCATCGGTGTCTGCCATAACTGCTTTTTATAATCGGCCAGAGCTATACTTGAACCTCACCTACGCCACAAGCTATAAAGTTTCAACCTTCGAGAAATCTGGAAAATTACCTAAAATACTAAGCCACCGGAAGCTGTAAAAGTCTAGCAGGGTTTTATTTTTCCTGGCAAAATGAAACAAAACTTCATTGGTATTTAAATATTTGTTGAAGTCCTCCGTAAAATTAATTATGGGTTTTAAAATTTTTCTAACTTATCTAATTTATATAAATCATTTTAAGTTTCTCCCAGACTCCGCCAAAGTATTCAACTTTGCACTTTCAGCTTTTCCGTGTTTCCTTGAATTCAATTATCTAGCACGCACCCAAAAAAGTGAAAATCTCTCTTGGAAAGTGAATCTTAATTAGATGCAATCAACAGCGACATTGTTAACTAGCGAGATGCCGGCTCTTCCGGACTCTTTGGGCCAATTTTATATCTCAGCCAGACCTTTGATATTAACCAGACTTGACTCATCTTTTAAGACGGTTCACTGGCGATGCGAGTATTCCCGAATTACGTCAGCTGTGTAATAGAAAAATTTGCCAGTCATTTCTTTGATCGGTGGAGTGACTGAAATTTCAATAAATCTTGCAACACGCGGGCCAGAGCGAGATCGACAATGAGGCCCAAAATTGTTTGGCCAGTACTGCGGTTCTCCCAAAGAAACCAGCAATTACACATACTCATTACGGGCGGCCCGGGCCACTCCCACATCGTCGGCGGCCAGTCGGTCAGTGAGTTCACCTGACGGCCTAATGGCGGACTGGGTTCATTAATGAACAAACGGCATGACGCAGCTTTCAGCACCCGATCGTCGATCGCCGACCGCCCGAAAGGCTCCCTACAACCCTATGATAATTGCTGACGTACTCTGGCGACAAATGAGCATTGTTTTGCATAGCCAGCCACTCCACCTGCTGCTGGCCAGTTGCAAGTGCACGACAAAGTCTGGGGGCCCGCCGGCCAGACATGATGGATGAGCTGCGATTGGCCAGTGGCGTAGTTAATTCCCCGTCTCAGGTGTTATGCAAAATATGGTGAACAAAACGCTCGGGGCGGTCCAAGAACGATTTAGACCGATTCGCGATAAAACTGCTTCCACACATTTAATTTTGGAGCGATTTTAAGAGCCAATCTGTTTTTCGGTAACTCGAACAAATTTTAGAGGCAAGGCTTTTAGCGAGCAAATTACATACTTGGGGTATGCATAACTGGAACATAATAAACGCCCCAAAATTACAGTCATAAGGTGCTTAAGTACATTATTTAAAGAAATGACACCTGAATTTGAATCCAGGAAGTAGTGTTTGGTTAAATAAGAAAACAAAGTGATATATTCAACCGAAAACTGCCATTTGAAGTCATTTTTCAATACTCATAGTTCTTTAGTATCGGATTAGTTTTTATGTGACCTGGAAAAGAAATAATAATAATTTTTGAAACCACAAGAGTGGTCTATAGTACTCTACAGGAGGTATTTCATAATTGAATTTGTAAGAATCAATGCAAAAACCACTGAAATGTAATGAGGTTGCATATTTTTATTACAATTTTCAATTACTGAGTGTTTGCTTTAATTGAATTAATTGAGTTATGTTGATATCTAATTAATTGGCGAAACAAATGCCGCTTTCCCAATCGCATTAGTCCTTGGCATTCCACGGCATGCCGCCGCCACCCACTCCCGCCACTACGCCCCTCTGCGAAATCGGAATCGGAGTCGGAATCGGCCGCTACCCTCGCTGCAATTAAGAGTAGCGTTGTTTTCTTTAATTGCCGTCAGTCAGGTATTTAACTATTTAAGCGACGATTAACACTCGCGGAACTGGTTTAGCTTTTCCTGACATCCCCACAGTGTGGGTCTTTGTCATAAGCCCCCTCCCTCCGTTTTCTTTGTTGGCCAGCCATTCAGTCAGTCAGTCGGTCAGACTGTCCAATCATTTCTAGATTGCTTTGTTTTCTTATTTATCACACGGACAAGAGGCCATTGCGGATTGCAACATAGCCGCAAGCCGGCTGCACCAGTTTTTCCATTGGATTTTTCATATTATTTTGATGTCTATATAGTTTTGCGACTGGCATCGTTCAGTGCTAATCGACAATGGGAAATTACCGCGCACAAATATGATAGAAAATCATGGTTTGTGTCGGCTAATGGGCTAATGGGGAGCTCCATAAGGAAATTTGTGCAGAATGTAGTTTTTGGCCAACTGATTTCTTTCCGAGCCACTGGCTTTGTTTTCGTCGTCGTCGGCTTGCAACATATGTTTGATCGCCCGAACTTTTAATTAAAACCAAAAATCAAAAACCAAAAAAACCTCACAATAGTCATAATCAATCAGTTGTCCGCCTCTGTGAACTTTACTAGGTTGAATATGCCTCGGAAACTGTGTTGCAGTGTTGCAACCGCCAAAGTTACAAATTTATTGATTTGACACTTGATCTCGCTAAACGAACTAATTGCCTCCGGTGATTAGCCAATCCCTCACAACACACTTGACTAATCGATCCCCATAATCTTGTTGCACTTGCAGGAGTACCTCACAAAATTCTACGATGGCTGGCGGGATCTTATGGACAACAAATCAGATCCGCGAACACGAGACTACCCGCTCATGAGCTCGCCGTTCCCCACGATAGCCATCAGTCTGACATACGCGTACTTCGTGAAGGTAAGTGGTTCAGAATCAACCAACTTAGGAATCACCCATCTATAATTATGGGGAATGGGGAAGAACATCAGGAGGACTTTATGAAATACATAAAAAGCCGAACAAAACAAGGCAATTAGTGCTGAAATTCTAGACCATAACTGGATGCATTCTGATTATATGATTAGCCAGGGAGTGCCTTTCTGGATCCTTCGCAGAAACTAGTTTCGTTTTTGTCTTTATTTTATGTACTGGTTGGTAAGATGACTGCGAAATCAGAAATGAGGTTCAGGGCCATCCGATCGGTCCGATTTGTGCGATCTTTCCTCGCAGTCGGCGGTGTCGAAATGTGACCCCGGCACTGGGCTACGATTATGCAAAAATTTTAAGAAAAAAAAATAAAAATCAATTCGAAAAACGATTTCTATTTAGGTTTCCCGCTTTGCATTGGTTCACATTCATAATTTGACAAAAGCATTTAACTTACTTTCACATGGGGAGATGGCCAAACAAAAGACTTAGGCAACGAACTTGTCACAAAACCAACAAACAAACTCGGTCGCTGTCGATTGATTTGATTTGATAATTGCTGCAACAGGCTTTGGCCTCTATTTGATTATGTTAAATGACTCGCGAAGACACTGTGAAAAAAGTTGGAGAAGATGTCCGGGAAAGGGGATGCAATTACATTTCATTATCAACTTCGATAACTAACAATTAATTTCTGTTTCCCAAAAGGTACTCGGCCCGAAGCTCATGGAAAACAGAAAACCCTTTGAGCTGCGCAAAGTCTTGATCGTCTATAATGCCGCCCAAGTTATCTTCAGTGCCTGGCTGTTTTACGAGGTAATCAATGATTGTAAACTTAATAAGCTCCCCCAGAACTGTAATAAACCCTGTGTTCTGTATTTATAGTCCTGCATAGGCGGATGGCTGAACGGCTATAACTTGAGATGCGAACCCGTTGATTATTCCTACTCGCCCAAAGCGATACGTGTAAGTATATAAAGAAGCTTCTGACACTTTTGAAGCTTATATACCCGGCTAAATAAATAGTCGCATGTGTAGAGCCAAAACATCGGGCAATAAATTTAGAATTTTTGCTTATGGTTGGCAAACAGCAAGGTTCTTTTGTTGACTGGGCTAGATTTTATGTAAGCAACCTGTTTTTGGCCACGATGGGATGACCAAAAATTAGAAAAGACGGGAATCGCGACAGGTTCTCTTATGCTAATCACAATGAAATGGATGGATGCCGAAAGCCGGCCGGCCGGCAGCCGTGTGGCTTGTGCGATTCAAAACTCTATTTAAATCTTTCACATCCATATCCAAACCCGCCATATCCAAACCCTCACGTGTGTCGCCAAGCCGACTAAAGTGGGTAAACGACCCAAAGAAAGTGGCGGGGTTAGAAAGTCTCTGGACATTTTGCAAATCACCTATATTTCTGTATTGATAAGCTGGGGGTTTGTTGGATCCGTTAGTTCCAGGGCAAATGAAACCAAACCTCCGAAACTGTGATCCGTCTTTTGCATAACAAAAAAACTTCTGAATGATGGGACATGTTTAAGGCTAAGATTAGGTCGATTGGATTTTTGCTTGGGTTTCGGTTTTGTCAAGAACATATTATGGTAATTTTATGAGTAAGGGTATCTTAAAAGAAGAGTCAAAAAACGGTTGTCAATATACTTTTCTATGAAAAAAGTCGATATTATAAAGGGTATGTTATTAGTTGCACCTATTTAAATATTCCAGCTTGAAGAGACTATTTTTGATAAAGAAAGTTTTGCCTAGGTTATTAAATAAATTAAAACATATGCAACTTAATAGATATGTCTGTCTTTATCTATTTAAATATTAAATGGAAAGTTTTATAAATACTTAATAAATACTTATATTTTACAGACCGCTGAGGGATGCTGGTGGTACTACTTCTCCAAGTTCACCGAGTTCTTCGACACCTTCTTCTTCGTGATGCGCAAGCGTTACGACCAGGTGTCCACTCTGCATGTGATCCACCACGGCATCATGCCCGTCTCCGTCTGGTGGGGCGTCAAGTTCACTCCCGGCGGCCACTCGACCTTCTTCGGCTTCCTGAACACCTTCGTGCACATCATAATGTACGCCTACTACATGCTGGCCGCGATGGGACCTAAGGTTCAGCGCTACCTGTGGTGGAAGAAGTACCTCACCGTGCTGCAGATGATCCAGTTCGTCCTTGTGATGGTGCACTCCTTCCAGCTGTTCTTCAAGAATGACTGCAACTACCCCATCGGATTCGCGTACTTCATCGGCGCCCATGCTGTGATGTTCTACTTCCTGTTCTCCAACTTCTACAAGCGCGCTTATGTGAAGCGTGATGGCAAGGTAAGATTGGACTTGGATTAATGAAAATTTATATATATTTAATCTATACATTTTTTTCCAGGACAAATCGGCTGTGAAGGCCAACGGACATGCCAACGGCCACGTCAAGGCCCTGAAGGACGGCGAGGTGGCGCCCATCCGCAACGGAAAGGTCAACGGATTCCACAACACCTTCTCCAAGTTCACCACGGAAATGTGCAACCCGGCCCTGAACTCCAACTCCGCGGCGAGACAACGCGTCCCGGTCAACGCGGGAAATAAGTGAGGAGCCGCCAGCCAGCCAACCAGCCAGCCAGCCAAACATGAAACAAACATAACCATAAATTAATTACGCTACCAATTAAATTACCGTACATTTAAATTAAACATAAGCATAGGGAGTCGAAGCCTACATCTAAGCAAAAACGAATTCGCAAATCAAAATCAGTTAACGACAAGGAGAAGCAAGCAAAAACATTATTTCAGGGGCATCCAATCCATGGTGATCGCACGTAGGGATCACAGATCGCTGGCAAACTGCTCTCTATCTCTACTTATATGGATATGTTTTCTATATATATACCTTCATAAATATCAGCATATACCACCCGATGTCATGTACATAGATCGTTCATAGTTGCCGAGGATTTTATTTCATTTAATTATAGTACTTAATAATGCATCTTAATGGAACGGTGGCAGCTCGAGGGCTCAGCTCCAAGTTGCCAAGTTTATTCGCTTTACTCATCTATTTTTCTATATTTTTGTACTTTTGGAAACGCAAGCGATACTTTTTAATACGTGTATATTATTTAATTGGATTGATTTGAACAAACGAAATGTGTTTTTATTTTATAAATAAATTCGAGATAGAAACTAAATGTCTTTTTTCTATGGGAGTTTATGAAATTTAGCAAAAGCTTTTTTGTAGCCAAATTTCTCATCACTGCACAGTGGTCCAGCCCGTAGGCCAAAAATAAAAAAACCAAAGTCCAAATTTTGACTTTAAATGTACCAATTCTTATTTATAATTGGTCTACCTATTTGAAATAATTCATATTTTTGTTTTGATCTGTCTGTCCGCTTCAAGAATAGCATCGAAAGTGATAGCATGATATTCATTGTGAATTGCAGCGTAAGCAACGAGCAAGTGAAGCTCTCCGCAAAAAGCTTATTAAACATTTTTTAAACAAGTGTTTGTGCCATGGAAGGTTTTAATATTGTAAAGAAAGGTATTAACTTTCTTTTTTCAATAAAAAGTATATATGGTATTTGTTGTGTTTTGTGTAAATCACTGTTGTATTTAGTACATAATTGTGAACGTTCTTAGTTTGTCTTCTCTGTGTTTGGTTAGAGTTTTAGTTGTGATGGCACTCGTTGGCATTAAAAAATCTTTTGTATAATATTCTTAAGCATTTTAAGAATATAAGAAAGTTTAGTTTAGGTGCCGTAAGGTGCCGTGCGGCTTGCAAAATACAAAAAGGTAACCTAACCTTAATTTGAAAAAACCGGATATATACCGCAAGAATCAGATTTTTTTCGCCGATCCTTATGAAAATATCGTAATATAACCAATCTATTTCAATACAAAATCTAAAAAAAGTCCCAAACTTCTATCTTCAAGAACACCGAAGTTGTTATTTCTACCAAAACCATTTCCGATCATTCAGTTATATGACAGCTATAAGATATAGTCGGCCGATCCTTATGAAATTTGGTAGGTTGGATCAACTGACCAAAAATAGAATCTCTACGAAGTTTCAACTATCTATCTTAAAAAGCACAAAAGTTGGGTCATTTCCGATCAAACATTTATATGGCAGCTATAGGATATATTCTGCTGATCTTTATGAAATTTGGTAGGTCGTAATGTTTTGCCAAAAATAGCACTCATGTCAAATTTGAACTCTGTAACTCTAAAAACACCAAAGTTATATCATTTCCGATCAATCAGTTATATGGCAGCTATATGATATAGTTGCCCGATCTGGCTGATTTTAACATATTATTTTAGAATAAAAATATAAATATTTTGTGCCAAGTTTCCAATCCCTACCTCAACTAGAAGTATTTTTGGCCGCTCTCCCCATACAAGCCGGACCACTGTGCACTGTCATAATTTTACACCTGATTTTATTTACCTGAAATAGGATTTAAGAAAAGCATACTTTCAGGATGAAAAAAGCAAAGGCACTATGAAAGTAAAACACGATTGGAGTCTTGGTAAAGCATGTTCTTTTTGGTATTTTTTTTTAAAAGTTTATAAAGTTGTTTTTCTTCATAAAAAACTATGGTATTATTATATGTTGCAATAAAAAAAGGTCATAACATAATCCCAAATTCAAAATGGATGCTGAAAAGGACTTAAAAACATTGGACTTGAACAAAAACAGGCAGGTTTTGCTAAGCAAAAGGCTATTCACCTTTCAGTGATCTGATCACTCATTTTCAAGTTACTGTGAAGCCAAAACAAAGTAACAAGCTACATCGTGTTAAAAAAAAATCTTAGGCTTGTCAGGTCATTTGGCTTAATGACCTGAAATTCACATATGCGCATAAGGATACTAACGAAGGCATCAAGAAAATAAGGCCTGATTATGTTTCTGCCATTTATGCAGATGAGTTACCCATACATTGCTGAAAACCAGTCACCAGTATAATTATTTCATTAGGAGTTAATGTACAGCTTCCGATCCTTAGGGCCAGAATGATTGTACAGCCAATCAGTCAGTTTTGCTTCTGATTTTCGCGGAATATGCATATGCTAATTATTTCATTTTCATCAGAACTGAATCATCAAAAGTCATACTAAAATGAGGATTCGAGACCATGAAGCTATTACAAATCCCATTTGGCTGTTGCAAATTAAGTTAAGTATAGCTAATAATATCTAATTAGATGCAGTACAAAAAAAACAAACAGAATTACAATGCAATTCAGAGTATAACACCGGAGAGATGGTAAGAAAAATATTTTTTAAAAATATTATAATTAAAAGTATTTATTTACTTACAATTGTTTTATGATAGAATCTATGTACTTGTATTTCCATTGGGATGGCATCCTTTTTGCTACTACTTCCTTGTGGGCTAGAAGCTAAATCCAAGGAAAAACATTTTATTTTAAAAGCCAGAACTAATCAGACAACCACCGGAAATGCCACGACTAGTGTTGGAGGAAGTAAACTTTCGAATGGAAATCTGTTAGAAGCATTTTACAATCACTGCGAAAATATATATAGGGAAAAGGATTTTGATGCCAATGTCATCAAAGGCATGGCGAGTGCTATTATGGATCGCCTTCATGAGATGTGTGTTTACCAGCCCATACACCCGTTAGTACTGACAACTTTCACGGAGACCCTCTATTGTGGTGGAAAACTGTCGGACGCTATCGAAAATATTGAAAATATTTTATTTGGACAGTTGGACCAAACATGCAAAGAAAAACACGGATTCAAGGCCTATTATGTTACAATAAGCGCAGATAATATTGAAGAACACTAAGATCCCAACTGCCTATGTTCTTAGGGATTAAACACATTTTTTTTTAATAAAATGTATATACGCTGTGGTATTTTTTTTAAAAAATGTCTTAGTTCTGTTGCCCTGAATCGTTGTATAAAAAACATAACTTGCGAAAAGTAGCACTACATGTCAATATTTTGCTATCATTAGACTGTTTATTTTAGTCATTAAGTTGGTGTCTGGCAATTTAAAGGTAACAAGCTTTTTACAAAAAAAAAATACATTCCCAATATTTATAGACTCAACTTTAAGTATTTACCAACTCGGGCCTTTGTTTTAAACTCCTCTTCCATTCAAACCTTTTTTTTTAAATATTACCAAAACCAAATATTATATTAATTCCATATCATACTTTTTTGTATTCATATATTTTATGGATTGCAGTGCTGGATGTTCGTTTCGTGAAAATTCTGCTCTTAAAAACAACGAATGCAAGAAAAATAAGTATTAAGTATTGTAGACTCTCAGGAGACATTCATATTAGTGGTATCAAAGTCAAGCCAACTCCGATCTGATCTATTCGGTCTTCTCGGTGGTGGTGGGTCCTTCCTGGTCAGCTTCAGCGGATCTGGACAGGCGATCGGCCACTGCACTTGGGAGCACTGCATCGACGAGAATGGGAACTATTTGCTCGCCTATGGATTGAAAAAGCTCAGCGACCTTGATTATGGTGGCCGGATCGGGCAAACCTGGTATACCCGCTCGGGCGGAAAGGGTGCTGTCCGTGTTCACTTCGCGGCGACGCCTTCGGTTCTCCCCAGAGTCCTCCACAGTCTCTTCGGAGGAGGAGTCATCGTCGTCGTCACCGTCGCCTTCCTGCTTGATCACCTCCGTTTCCTCCTTCACCACAGTGATCACCTCCTGGGGGTATTGGGTGCGGCATAATTAAACCAAAATCGAATTTCTCAAACTAATCCCCGAACCTGTGGCCTGGCCTCCGAACGTGGTGCAAACTCCAGCAGAACCAGCAGGAATCCGGCGAGCAGCAGTTGTCGTCCCACATGGAAGCCCATTTTTACAGATTCGTTGCAAAGGGTGCCCCAGCCTGCTTTATATATAGCTCCCACTTAATGGGCTAATGACCCTCGCATGTCGCATAATTGGCCAAAGGTAATGCAAGGTCGAAATTGATCAATTTCAGTTCTAGCCGACCTAGACAACCTTGCGAAAGTGCAACTAATTTTGCGACAAAAAACTCTTCAAACACGAGACGACAACTTCGACGCTGAAAGTTGCAATTTTGGCCAGGAATGTGCCGACGAGTGCAGTTTTTGCCTTGGCCACTGGCCGGGCCTGATCAGAAACCAGCCCCCGATCGTCTTGCGAGCAATCTCAGGTAAGCCACCACGCAGACAGGTAGTTTTTGGGCCCGGCTCGAAGCGCAGGCCATAAATCGAATTTACGCGCACGGAAACGCGTTTCGTTTGCTTTCGATCGCCAGGCGGACACACACTACACGTATAATTAAATCAAACTCGAGGAGGAGAGATTTCGATCTCAACTGCGACTCTGGGAGCATTGCACCACCGAGAAAATTCGCAACATCAGTTCTGATTCAAAGCTCTAGCGGGACAGGTCTCAAGAATTGAGATTACCACCTGTGTGGAAATAAAAATGAACAGTGGTCAAGATAAACTAAAAGAGGTTTTTATTAAATTTGCCTATTGAAAAATAGTTGATGTTTAGATAATTTTGAAAACAAATAATGTGGAAGTAAACTGTGGAAGTATAAATAAAGCGTGTTATTTTCGTTTAAATATTCATTTAATTGTGTTGTTTCATTACTATTTAGATCACATAACGTATGTCTTTATTTAAAAACAAAAACTTATATTTTTAAAAGAATTATAACTTACTAATTCGAAGCATTTTAAATTCTAAAGACTATAATTCGAGGTATACTAAACTATTTCAAGAATACCATTGCCATGAATTTATTTTCGCGTCTGAAACGATTGGGAGTGGCTGCCAGCAAGGTGAGTTTAATTTAATAATCAAGTATTTTGTAACAATATTTGTATACTTTTTAGAACTCCGTGACACTGCCTGTAACCGGTAAGTTTTAGGAGTGAGCCATTTAAATGTGGCGCCCAAAAAATAATACCGAAAAAATAAATCGTGTTTGACTTTTTTATTTATAAAAATAAAATGCACAAATAAATATTTCGCCCAAAAGTGGTAGCAAAAAAAGTAAAACCTGATACAAATTATGAAAAAGTAAGATAAATTAAAGTGAGATAAAAAATTTAAGCAAAAATACCAGCCAACCGGTTAGGGCTGCCGAAAAAACAGGGTTGCACCAAGCACCCCTCAGATATACTGAATTCGAAAAAATACCAAATATATTTTTGGGTTTGGTATTATCTATCTGACACTGAATTATTTTTAAAAAAATTCTCAACGTGTTCACATCGCTGTTATAGTTGTGGTCCATTTTAGGCGTGTCTGATAATAAAAGCAACGCTTCTGGTGAAGCTACAAGTGACTCCGCTGAAGTTTACAAAACAATAACGGAAGACAAGTTTCTTGGAGGAAATTCAGGCCCTGAAAAAGGTATTTATACAAAGCAATATTCTCAGCTATAGATACATAAATTGAGAAAATTGAATAGCTGACGTAACAAAGCGTAGCTATTGCTCTGGAAAAATTAATGGATATGTATCTGTAGAGAAGAATGTGTGATATATGTATATATACATATGTATAAGTAGATGCAAGTAAAATAACTGTTAGGTTTGGTACAGCGTTATCAGTAGCAAAGATAAGAAAACACCCTGCAGGCCGAAAAAGATATTGATTTTTTATCGGCCCACATTGTAAGCCACAGGTCGAATTTCATGAAGCGCAAACGCGAAGTGTGTGCCTGGATGTCTGTGACGTCAGCACGACTCCCATGTGAAAATTCCATCTGCCATTCTGAGGCTTGGGTTTTATCCCCCCATCCCCTATTAATATTGCTTATGCCTGGCTTGGGCTTTCAACGTAACCTTAAATAATACACAGCTTGTTCTGAAGTGAAAGTCTCGCATGATGTGAGAGCTTTTGTCCCGAGCTTGATTGGGAATGATTAGAGTCAATTAACCATTTGTGAATCGTTCTCCGCTTTTCAGTCGAAATGGTCCAGGATGAGAAGACAGCCCCCAACGACGGAGCCGACGAGCAGATGCTAGGCTCCGGCGGCGTGGAAGACAAGCTGGCCGACCGCCGGGATGAGGTCAAGTTCATCAAGGGCGACCACCAGAACGGCGATGCCAAAATCGATATAGGAGCAGTCAATGGAGGAAAGCCTGTAAGTCAACCATCAATAGAAACTATTGAATTAGGAGGACTTCGATTATCCTAATCCCGATTACCTTTTCCGTTTCAGGCCTTCACTGGAATGAGCAAGGAGGAACTTATGAAGTACGCCAATGATCCATTCTGGGTCCGTCTTCGATGGATCTTCTTCGTGGGCTTTTGGGCCGTGTGGGTGGGCATGCTGGTGGGCGCCATTCTGATCATCATCGGAGCCCCCAAGTGCGCTGCCCCCCAGCCGTTGCCGTGGTATAAGCGCGGCCCGCACGCCAAATTTGCCAGCCTGGAGGCTGTCAAGCAGGCGGATGTCGAGTCTGTCAAAAAGATCCACGCTGCAGGAGCCATCTATGAGTTGCCCGCTGCTTTCACTTACAATGTGAAGAAGCCAGAGGTCGAGGAGATGATAAAGCGACTAGTGGCTCAGTACCAGGGCAGCGATATCCGGGTGATTCTCGACGTGACCCCCAACTATGTGCACAAGGATTCGCAGCTGGTGTTGGATGCCATTGCCGATCCGGAAAAGCGTTCCGCCTTTGTGTGGGTCACTGGCAAGACAGTCGAGCCAACAAACTGGCTCAAGGTTGGCGGCACTCGCAGTGCTTGGAAGAAGCTGAACGACAGCTATGTGCTCTCCCAGTTCGAGGACGACTACTACGACCTCAAAATGAACAGCACCTTGGTCCGGAAGGAGTTTGGAGATGTACTGAAGCATCTGGTTGGCCTGGGTGTCGAGGGAATCCGTCTGAACAATACCAAGTACTTTGTGATTACCGAGAATCTGGAAGACGAAACGCCTTCAGCAGTGCCCAATGGCGGAAACCTGGGAGACTATGGCTTCTTCAACCACAAGCAGACCACATTCCAATCCGGCCTGGGAGACGTTCTTTATGATTACCTGAGCATCGTTAAGAACGCTTCCGATGAAGCCTTCCTCTCGGTGGCCGATGACGTGATCCGGCCGCAGGTGTATCACTTGAGCGAGGTTCCCGGCGTCAATGGCATCGATCTCCCTATCTTCGGTGACTTCGTCAAGGTCCTCAGCAAGTCTAAGCCAGATAAGTCGCTTCAGCAGGATCTGGAAAACACACTCTTCCAGGCTGGCAACAACAGCTGGCTGCAGTGGAACTTCGGAGACGTCTATGTGGACACACCCCAGGATCCCTCAGCTCTGTCATTGTTCCTCTCTTTACTTCCTGGTGTCCCGGTGGTGGCAGTGGACTCCATTATGTATCAAAACGTGACCGAGGAGACCTACAGGCAGATCGAGCAGCTCCGCAAATCGGCATCTTACATGCACGGCGAGCTGAAGCTCTTCCAGGCCGATCCCTTGGTGGCTTATTCCAGGTAATTACATTCAAGAGTTTTTCTTAATATTTGTACTAATTTTAATCCAATTCTAACATGCTTGCCACCTGAAGGCAGAGGTAAAATAAGAACATTAGCATTTAAACCTTAACTTAGAATATTATCTAAAGTATTAACTACAATGACTAATATTAATTATTTCCCATCTAGAATCAAGTCTGGAAATCCTGGCTTCTTTGTGGTATTCAATCCCACCGACTTGCCGCAGTCTAGTAACTTCACTGGTTCTGTCAATCTTCCGGAAAAGATGACAGTTTCCTACTTCAGCGAGCACTACAACAACCACGAAAATTCCGTCAAGGTGGGCCACGCCGCCAAGCTGAATCTGAAGGAACTCAAGGTCGCTCCCCACTCGACCATCATCCTCACCTACGTTCCGACCACAACGGAGTAAGGTGTTTCTACCAGCGAAATTAATGGCAGTCCTATGAGATTGGCTTCAAGGCATATATTTATATAAAGAATATAAATGTGTTTATTAAATTGTAACTTGCTTCATTATCCATTGAGATTTAAAGCCGAAAAACAAAGCTCTTAAAAAAATAGTTTGTTGAGAACGTGTTGAAGTTCTCTTTTTGCTAGAAATCGCTTCAAAATAAATTAAATATTTGCTTGCATTTAAAAAATTGTATTTTTATTTATTAAAACTTTTTTCAGAGACTTATTAAAAAGAAAAACTTTCAAGTTTAAAATTTAAAATAAGCTTCAAGGATCTGGCAACAATGTAGTTAGCAAATGGGCACCTTTGACCAAAATTATTCATACTATCTGGCAGCTTTAACGCCGGAACCGGAAATTTCAAATTCATTTTAAAATTAAAGTTTGGTTTAACGAAGTTTTGTTCAAATTTCTAACTACGCTGGACCCAAAAACTAAAAAGATGCAAAATTATTTGGCCTTTCTGGAAAAGTTAGAAGTGCACAAGGAAATAGCTGGGATACGTGTGTGAGCCAACTTTGAGATACAAATAGTTGGGGGCTAGCTGGCAAAAACAAAGGTCTGTGCGGGCAGCCACAGACAAATAATCAAAATCGACAAACGAAATGAGCCAAAAACAAAGCGCCCAAAATGTTTTTAGTTTGCGGAGTCCTGGCTATGAATGGCAGCCTGGGGAACAGGATCCCCATTGCCCCCATGCCACACGCCACATACGCAGATACGTTCTGGCCAAAAAGGATATGCGCACGTGCTAATGTGATTAGATACACAAACAGCTCAAACCATCTCCACGAGAAAGAGGCGAGTTGTTAGAGGAACCACAACATGCAGTGCAGTTGATTGCGGCAAGCCAGCTACCATAACAAGAAAATGCGACTACCAAGATGAACAAACTCAACTTCATTTCTATCTCTGGGTATCTCTGAGATGCAAACTATTGTTGCGCAGGTCATCATCATCATCATCATCATCCTCGTGATTATCATCATACGAAAACTGGAAACTTTTGGACTGGCCCGCTGTGCATTCCACCTCCCATATCCACCACCCCCCATTTGCACACACAACCTCGGCGCTGGCCTTGTGGCATGCGAAATTATTTTGTCGCTACAACTTTTCCATCAGCCAGTCATCAAGTGCAGCACCAGCAGTTACTACCCTTCACGGCAGGCCATCCACGGGGGCTGGCCGGCGGTTTAATTGCAACGTGCAACACATCTGCTGGCATGTCACACTCGCAAATTAATCTATTACGGCAGACGACAGTCCGGGTATCTTTATAACTTATAGGACAAGGATTTAAAGACCAATGAAGAATCTTACCTTTAAAAATATAATTATCTTACTTTTTTTTAAAATTATGTTTAAAGCATTTTACTATGCCTCCATGAAGCTCTACAATACTTATTTAGGTGTCATCGATGATACGCTTGACAGATATTTAAGCTCACACATAGAACTTACTTTGGAGGGACTTACATCGGATTATGGGACACAAAGACAACAATAAAGTCAACTGGATTCAATAAAGAACAAAAGCAGCGGACTAATTTGTATTGATTTTTTATCACACTTGCATTTCCCCATGTCTCCTGGTATTTCCCACCCGATTTTATCCAACTCTTTGTCGGTATGGTTCGTTTGTTTGTTTTGAACTTTCCCATGCATAAATTTTGCATATTAATTGAGTGGCTGTCATCAATATGTCTGTGCCACATCCCCCCGATCCGAGAACATCTCCATTCTCCACTCTCCGCCTTTGGTATCACTCATTAGTTGGCCTAAAAAAAAGCCATCAGGCTTTGATTAACATTTTGTGCACACAAATGCCATCCAGCCAAATGCGAAAGCGGCTAAATGAGTTGCATCTAATTGAGTGACAAACACGCCACAACACCATCAGCAAACCCACAGGCCACCTCTCACAAACTGTGCCAATTTGTTTTAAAATGCATCATCCCGGCGCCCAATCAGCTTGCCACTCGCTCCGTCACCCCACTTATTCTCGTGCCATCCCTCCATGTAGTCCATACTCCTCCAGAATCCAGTGTCCAGTTTCCACTGTCCTCCGTCCAGTGTCCAGTGCCTGCTCTGGACTGTTTTTCAATTTGCATGCAAGCGTAAATTACTCTCTGTTCGAAAAACTCCTTCTGCCTCGCAAACGCCCTCCCCGGATGTCCTTCAGTAGAAGTCTCCCCATCGGTTAAAAGGTTTGTCCTTTGGTTTTGGTTACGTTTTATATGCAGATTGCCTTCACCAGCCAGCTCACTTAACTTTGGAGCGTTGCGGCCTGTCGAAATCTGGATTTTGGGGTCTTCTTCGCGCCTTTAATATCTTTCTTTGCGTATCTGGTTATGAGCATAAAACACGTTTTTTGGCACTCCATTTGTCATTAAGCTACCAATTTGTTCGACTTTAAAAACATCTCAAATTTCTCGTCCAGGGAGGGAAGGGAGTAGCTTAAAATTAACAAGCCTAAGAGGCAAAAGGACGAAGCAAGATCAAAAACCACGCGACGCAGCTTTCGGGGTTGAGCCGTCGCCTCAAAATTGAGGTAAAGCCGACCAAATTACTATAATTATGAGTTCTGAACAAAAAGGAGCTTCTCCTCAAACTGTGTTTATAAAAACTGACGAAATCTTAGTATTAAAATGTTCCTAAGTAAATGAGAGATCGCGAGCTATTAAGTAGCTTTCAAGTTTGTTTTTAATTTGAAAGGGGAATCTCTTTACAATCTACAACTTTATTACCAACTAGAACAATTTCACGGATGCGGTTTCGCGGTATCCACTCTTTGGTTAAATTTCAGAGGAAATGCAAAAGCCAGCAGTGATATATAAGTATTATTTATATATAAATGCGATCTGGGCGCCAGTCATGTGTGCGATTCGCATGCCTAAGCAACTCGCCCAGCTACCCACTACAGCGAGCTCCGAGCCCGGCCCAAGGCCCTCGGAAGAGTGCCAACAATGTTAAACAACTTGTAGAATGGCCATAACAATTATAAAACACGAACACGAGCTGATGTGTGGGAGAGGGGGATGTCAGTGGGGAATCCGGGGCACGTCTGCGGTTGGCAACTTGAATTACATCGCCGGGTCATTTGGAGAATTCTGCACTGGGCTCACCGCACTTCACAGCATTACCAAGTGTCGCCCGGGCTGGGTATCTCTGTGCGGCTTTCGAGGTGACAACGGCGACAGGCAAACGTCAATTTGTATAAATGTTTGCAATTGCCACTGTTTGCGGTGGAATCGTTAAAAATAAAACATGGAAGTAGTTGATCGATGCGGGGGACGAGTGCATCCCGGTCCTACGTTCGCGAGTATCTGTATCTAGAGAATATCGGAAAGAGCCTCGAAGAGTGGGAGATGTACGGCAGAGCGAGAGCAATCATAAATAAATATTTGCCGGTTTCCTTGGCATTTGCATTTTCTCTGTATTTTGTTTGCCTTTCTGGGCCGTGTTTGTTGGCGTTTTTTGAGAGCGAAACGAGAACTCGAAAGCCGTGCGGCGGATCCAAACGAGTTTCGCTTCGGTTGCGTATCTGCCAGATACTCTTCGCTCGTCGCTCTTCGCTAATTGATTTACGAGTATGCAACTGAAGTCGGCCTGCGTTGCCAATGCCTGCAGCCACGATCTTTCGACACTCTTCCATAATGTTGGCTGAAATGCGTGTGAACCAAGCTATAAATATGCATCAAAATATTTCTGGAATTCCGTCCGTTATTTATATTAAGGAGAGGAATTCAAGCCTAATCTGTTTTTGCCACAGGTTCTGAATACCATCGAAGTCAGACATATGAGTTCTTGCTCCATCTTTCCCATAGGAAAAAACTTTAAAAATTAACATAGATATGGTCGTGGTTCGGAGCCATATATGAATATACTGGTTTTTGTAGGAACTGCATTAGAAAAAATTGGGAAAAATATCGATAAAATATGATGTTCTAAGATTTTAATGCAGATTGGTGGAGAATCGATCCACAAATCGTTTGCGGTATTCCGCTCAAGGATCGGATAAAAATTGTCCAAGATATGGACATGGTTCGGAGCCACATATGAATATCACTTTAATGCAAAGGAGTCAATCATAAAAAAATTGGAAAAAAATGAATCGAAAATTTTGTTCTGAGGTTTTTATGCAGATTGGTGGAGAATCGATCCACAAATCGTTTGCGGTATTCTGCTTAAGGATCGGAAAAAGTTTGTCCAAGACTTGAGCAATATTCAGAGCCATATATGTATAAATATCAAGGTTTATGCATGGGACTCCATATGATTTTTAAAGGACCCCTTCTTAAAATTAACAAAAACAAAATGGAAAGTGTATACAAGATTCAGCTTGATAGCTTGATCCTGAAATTTTTGGCAAAAATGAATTCTTAACTCTTTTATACTTAACTATTAAGTAATACGTATTTTTCTGATATTAAAACAAAGAGTCGAAGTAGCTAAATACGTATTACCTTAAAAAAAAATACGTGCAGATATGTTTTTGAATAATTACCATAATTTCTGTCGAAACTCGGGTGCGATTATAAGTCTCCCAGTGACCAGCCCGATCCTCGAGCAATTTCTTACCTTTCCAGTACCAAACTGGACTCTTAACAGAAGGCTTCGATTATATTCACTGCGTGTTCTGCCTCGGGGAGACAGCATTTTTAATGGTTAAGCTTAATTATCTGAATTTGGCTAAATAAAAGATTGCGGCTAGCGATGGAACGGCTGATGAAAAGAAACTTTAAATGTGATAAATGCGAATGCGAGACACGCAAATCGGGGCACCTGAAGGTGGCATAAATATTCCGATGCGCCGTGCCCGGCGAGCCCAGTCTGATGGTGGCTCGACCTATATCAAAGGCCGTTGGCTAGACTTGCAAACCCGATTCCCCGATTCTGGCCATAAAAGGCGGTACATCTTCTTCTTCCGGGCCCAAAGAGAAAGACAGTGAGAGCAGGAGAGTGGGAAAGTTGGGAGATTGTGAGAGTACAATTTACGATCGTCATTTGCAGCCGGAGACGTCAATGTACTGCAACAAAGTTGCCCCACTCGATCGCAGAGATTCGCCAAAGCACATGGAAGCCAAAGAGTTGAAGTGGAAGAAGAGCTGTGGCTAAGAGAGGAGACTTTTTTTATTTTTTAGCCCCACAGCTCTTACGGTTTTGTGGGGCAAATGCACTTTTC